GAATTGTATCAATATGATGTGCGCACTTTATCTATTTCGTTGCCACAAATGCGTAATTCGTTGCCACGTTATACCCAATTCGTGCCCACAAATTAGCATTTCGTGCGCACGTTATACCTATTTCGTGCCCTCAAAATAGTATTTCATGGCCACAAATAAGTATTTCGAGGGCACGAAGTAGTATTTTGTGGCCACAATTTATTTATTTTTTGGACCATATGTCATCAGAGGGGCTCCATAGGATACAACTGAATGGGTTAATGAGATTATAACATGGATCTTAAAAGGATGCTGGGTCACATTAGATACAGTTGTAAGAGGATTATATGTGTGCAGCACAATTTTATTATTGCTTAAGGTCAAGGTACCTAAATGCATACTTTTTTGTGAGTGTTGTGATTTTACCTTTTATTATAGACAGGATCTATTGCACTGACCCTCTGCTGCACTGACCTTTATTATTGTTTTACCATGTAAAGTTTGAATATGTCACATTCACATACTGGTGGTGGTCAGAGGGCCCGGTGGCGCCTGTGTCCGGCAGCCTCGCCTCTGTCAGTGCGCCCCAGGGCAGCTGTGGCTACAATGTAGCTTGCCATCGCCAGTGTGTGAATGTGTGTGTGAATGGGTGAATGACTGAATGTAGTGTAAAGCGCTTTGGGGTCCTATGGACTAGAAAAGCGCTATACAAATGCAGGCCATTCACTCCCATTTGTTTTGAGGGATTTTTTTAAGTGTTGTTAGATGCTAAAGAACAGAAGACTACAAGTTTGCTGTCTTTTGGGTATCTGTGGATATATCTGTATAATCCTGTGAACTACTGAAGCTGGAAAAACTTTTTTCAATAATATAAAACAATAAATAAATAATTTAAAAACTCAATATCTATAGTAAGCTTCAAGAGGTAATATACACCTGCCAGGCAGTTTTAGTTACAGCTTGCTAGTTTGGGGTTGGAGCCCTTTTGCTTTCAGCACTACCTTAGTCCTTAGATTTGATTAGACACTGGATACATTTTGGTCTGTATTGACATGATATCATCAGGTGCTGCAGATGTGTTGGCTGCACATCCATGACGCAAATCATTTCAACATATCCTAAAGGTGCGCTGCTGGACTGAGATCTAGTGAATGTGGAGGCTGTTTGAGCACAATGAACTTATTGCTACGACTTCACTGAGATGTTGAAGAAACCAGTTTGACATGATTTGAGCTTTGTGACGTGGTTTGTGAGAAGATGGCTGGATGGACATGGTCAGCAATAATACCTGGGTAGTCTCTGGAGTTTAAACAATGTTCAAATGGTACTAAGAGGGCAAAAAGTGTGCCAAGATTGTATCCCCCACATCATGACATCACCCCCACCAGCCTGAACTGTCACTACAAGGTAGAATGGATTCATGCTTTCATGTTATCCATGCCAAATTCCAACCCTTCCATCTGAATGCCACACCAGAAATCGAGACTCTTGAGATCAGGTAATGTTTTTACAGTTGAACTGGAGCCTCACTTTCCTGTTCTGAGCTGGTAGGAGTGGCACCTGGTCAGATGTTCTGCTGCTGTAGCCCATCTGCTGCAAAGTTGTTACTCAGAATTGCTCTATATTAGTATATATATCAATATCTATATCAGCTTAAAAGAGAATATCTTAATGTTGTGTTATACTGCTCATCCTGTCCTTGTGTGCCTACAACTTCCACAGAATTGTTTGTTTAACAAAAAGTTTCATCTCTCCAGCTGTTTTGAAGCTCTTTTACATATTATCTGCCTATAGAAATAGATATAAATATTGAATCCAAAAAGCCTGCACAACTGTTCTTTATGTCCCAGAGGAGTTTCTTATCGGATAATAAATCACTCTCATCATTAGGTGAGCTGCTGGTAATGACAGCGTGACCTCTGGTGAGCTTCTATATATAAATCTTTAGTAGAGGAACTTAGTGACGCATAGAGGACAAGAGACAATGTTCCCTCAGAGAGAGAGTCTGTCCTTTCTCTCCTCTTAAGAACATAAAGGCATGTGCGACCGCTCGGTTTCCTTTTGCTTAATGCTGTAAAACACCAATGAAAAGTAAACACACACACACACATGGAAGAATGCATAGACAGATAGATATATGTATGTGCATTTTGTATGTCACACAAATACATCTGCCTTTTTTCCCCACTTCTCATATTTCCTTGTTTAGACTGGCCTGTTTTGTATAGGACATTATGAATGTGTCCATCCCTATGAGGACAGGCTGTAAGTATAGGGTTGCATCTAAAGCATCACAGTAGGAAGGACGCATCTCACGGTGTCAGAAATGTAAATAAAAAAAGCAAGCACACGCAGGACACTCATTGAAATACATGCAGACACACACACACACACACACACACACACACACACACACACACACACACACACACACACAGAGGTTGTACAGCATGACCTTGATGTTGTTCATTAGCTTTACAGGAAGGTTGGAACAAGACAATGTGAAGAGTGAAGAAGGTGACTTTGTGTTGGCAGGATCCCAGACTTGCTCTGTCTGCTGCTCTGTGATCTGTTACCTGCATTTGCAGGGTTCTGTGTACTGCAGACGTTTTGCTTATCTCGGCAAATAATTTTGACCTGGATTTTTTAAAGGTCTGCTGGGTAGAGCTGTCTCCTTTAACTCTGCCAAGTTATGGTCGAAATCTCATTAAAAAAATCTCTAAAACACACAGGAATGACTTGCCAGAACTTCGTGTTTATTTTGAGGGTTCAGTAGGACTGTATAACAATTTCACACTATTAAGCATTAGTAGGGTTTGGAATTATTTATTTATATATCATTACTCCTCCTTTTTATGCCATTTATAAATGCAGATATGTTTATCCCACTGTTACTGTTACACCTGTACAGCTATCACCCTGAGTCATGTGGAGTGACTCTCACAGACCCTCAGGTATCCTCGAAGAGTTAAAGAGTTGTGTGTTCGCTGGACAAAAACACATTGTTCCTCCTGAAACTGAGGTTTGACTCTCTTCTCCAGTACCTTAGCAATTCACAGAGCACAGCAGAAGCAGTTGTGTGAAATCTTTCTAAATTAAATACAATAGTCAGACTATACACTTTATTTGTATCTCATGACATCAATCCTTCTGTGTAGGTTTGTCTACAGTAAATAGTGTTAAAAGAAAAGTGAAGTGAGAGGTTGTAGTGTCTCAACTGGGTATTTACTTTTGAGTAGTAATTTTACCTTTTACCCACTTCCTTTGGGCCTCAATGCTTGACCTTTCTTTACCAATTGTATCACAATGTCAACAGTTTAATTCTTGTGATAAAACAGGAGGAAAAAAAAGACATTAAAAAAGAAGAAAGAAGAGAAAGAGAAGAAAGAAAAGATTAGAATATGCTGATAAGCATAGACTTGTTTCCCTTAAATAATTTCCATTTCAAAAGCCACCAGCACGAGAAAGCTGCTTCAGCTTTAGCTTGCAAGTGCAAAACAAATGCACGCTGGAAGATGCAGTTTTTTATATGCATAATTTATTTCTCACTGACACTGTTATTGAACAAATACACATTTTGAAGCCTGGCACCTCCTGCTTTGGACTGACACATAGATACATTAAAACCAGTGGCACATAGGACAACACTTAGGGCAACATTAACAAGCTGAACTTGTCCAGATACTTTACATTATTCCACTGAATTTAGCAATGATTTCATGCCAGCACAACATAAACATGTTTTCCGAAATATGTCCCATACTGCATGTGGAACAGCAACATGATACCTGAATCCACAAAATAATTTGATTGCACTGGAATAATCTGAGCCGCAATACCGCACGTCAGAAAATTCACATTGCTTTGTCTCTAAACATCCAGCAGGGCATCGTATGATGTAAACAAATCCAAACTGAAATAAAATTTATAGATCAGTCTGACAACTGAAGTGAACTTTTTTCCTAAACACGTAGATTGGCGTGATCTTTTAAAGTCGGGATTGAACCAACATCCATCCTAATACGGGGCTTGTGCATCACTGGTTTCAGTAGCAATTACTTTATATGACCAAGCTTATTATTAAAAAAATTTAAGAAATTGTCAGCCATATTTACATTTAAAACAATCAGCGTCAAGTATATATATTTTTAATATTTTAATTTTAAATAAATCATCAATAACAGTCAATTTCCTATTTAAATTCCGCCTTAACCTGCTACTGGTTCTTCTGAAAGTGGTTTAATAGTTATAGCTACTGAAGGATTTCCTTATCAGGCCTTTCAAAATAAAAAAAATAAAAAATCTATGAATCTGTTTCACTAATATAACAAAGGTTATTAGCAGCCAGGGATGTCACTTCAATCAAAGTCGAATGCACATTTTCTTTCCATTTTAGGGAAGCCGAGGATGAATTATGAGTGCTGTGCAGTGGTGCACATGCAAATGGAGGAAAAACTCATCTGAAAGTTTGTACTACATATAAATTAGATTAGTCTGGATAGTTTAAGCCAGAAGGCCTGTCTGTAACTGCAATGTAAACGTTATCACTGTTGGTCAACTGTGTGCACTCTTTAGCCCAAGCGTGCAGCTTGAATTCATTGATTATTTTTTAAGCAATACATTTTTCATTTAGCGGTATGTATGCTCACATATTCCAGTAGCTACTGTTAATTGCATACACATACATTTGTCTGAAGTATGACACTGATCTTCAGCTCCACAACATAAAATAATGGAAAATAATAAACTTTCAAACTTATCTGAAGGCTTTTAAGATTTCTTTTTGATATCCCGCTGGAGGGAGGTTTATTTGCTGTGTGTTGTAAAAAATAAAATAGAAAACATGGCTCATGGTATACAACAACTCTACTGTAAGCCTTCTTGCCATCACAGTTTACAAGCTGAGGTACTTCATAAGGCTTTTTTAAAATTCCTTTAAAAATTGAACACCATAATAAAGACATTTTCAAGAGACCATTAATCCTCTGTCCTTTTAATCGCCATCCTGCTTCTTCTATATATCCCAAAGTGGGGATATATTCTTAAGTGCATTTGAGTTTCGACCACTAATAGGACTCAGCCATGCAGAGCGTGGTCTGTTCGAGGATTTCTCAAAAATATTCAACGGTATCTTTGTGAATGATTCCTGGCACGCTGGAAAAATTGTCCAAAAATCCAAGTCATCAAATTTTGTTGATAAAATCCTTATTAGCCACACCGCCCACAGACATCAGATTTGTCAGCTTGTGTTTCTTGCACTTTGGTTCAGACTGAAGACAAAAACAATTTGCTGGCCAGATTGGCCAATGCAAAAGTCTGCTGTGGCTGAATCCTGCAGATGCTTGAGATCCCCTGACTCAGCAGCCCAAAGTTTCTTCTGATCAGACACTTCACATTATCATGATGATACTTCATGATGATCTTAGCCAGATTGCTAGGGCAGAATAGGACATTAGCATGCTAACATCTGCATGCACTGTAGCTGTGTGGAGGCTGTAAAACTGCAGCTCTAAATACAAAACATTCAATCCGTGAGACAGAACTGAGCTTCGCGACCTTTCTGTCTGAGCCTGATGTGTTAACGGGTTTTTTATGTAATGTCCAAAGGTTTTTGTTAGCAGACAAAATTGACAGCATGAGCTGTCCTCAGGTTTCACTCTCAGACTACACTTTACTTTTTGCATCACCAGTGGTGAGAATCTAACCAGTGGTTTGACTATCTTTCATTCACCTAACAATTTTGTGTTTTGCTGCGTAAGCATTTCATCCTCCCACATGTCTGTTCACATGACCACAGACCCTGTGTTTTGCTATTTCATTTATCCCATCCTTATTCTGCCTTTTTGATATGTCACCTACTGACTGAACCCTGTGCATCCGCAGCCACTGGTTGCATCTGATTTCAGCCCGTTAGGCCGTCAGAAATGAGACCCTGGAACTGTTAGGAGCTGCCGGCCTCTCACTGAGCTGATCAGTTTGGACCTGCTACTACTTGTTCCAACTAGTTAAGTTATTTCCTGAGGATGGTCATCTGTAGACACTCCTCCTTCAGAGCCACCAGTTCCGTCTTGTAGTTGTTGGTCTTGCCTGGATCCGCATACACACAAGGCTGCTTCTTTGTTGACAGTGGTGTGTCCATGGTTACTGAACCAGCATTGAGAATGTCAGCATGTGAAGGCGAAGAAGAGGGCCGCCTGTTGCAGGCCACTGACAGTAAAGCCGACAGGGCTCGGCCGACATCATTCCTAGCTCCCTCGTTAACGAAACAGTACAAAATAGGGTCAGCTACGCAGTTCAGGCTGGTCAATGCCAACGATACATGGTATGCTGCAAACAAGGTTTCCTCTGAGCTGCAGTCACATGGCTTCTGTAAAAACATGACACTCCGCACCAGGAGGAGGATATGATATGGTCCAAAGCAGAACAAAACAATGAGAATCAAACTCAAAGCTAACCGCTGAATTTTGGCCTTTTCCTGGCGCTCTGTTGAGACATTGCAACGCACTGCTGCAAGGATCCCTCGGTAGGCGACCAGCATTGCCGTCCACGGAGCAAGGAAGCCAAGAAATGACCTGTAGAGGTTCATGCCTGCTACCCAGTCCTGCATTGGATATTTCTCAAAGCAGAAGGTGTGATTGAACCGGTCCTGGAAGAGCTCATCATGGAAGAGAGGAGCAGAGTTTGCTACAATCTCAATGATCCACACAATGGTGCTGACGAGGATAGCTGCAGGAAGCAAAGGAGAGGAAAGACAAAGAGAGCAAACATTAAATACCTTGATAACTTCCATTTCTATATCTCATGTACATTTTGGTCACTCTGTGGACGTCCAATTCCCTTATTTATTGAATTTGAGCATTGCAATATGTGCTGGATCTTGTCCATTTCTTGAATGTAATTCTTGTAACACAGACAAATTATAGGAACGCATAAAACCTCAGTGTGTATAGTGTATGAACCACTGATTGTTCTCCCTCAAACACCACAAGCCATTACAGTAAGTCTGAGCCATCCATCCATCCATCCATCCATCCACCCATCCACCCATCCATCCCCACTCTCACAGGGCGAGAAGCACACCACACCCTGGACATTTCAGCAGTTTACCGCAGGGCTGACAGAAAAGCAGACAACCATTCACACTCATATATACATGCCTACAGCCAGTTTGGATCATGGGGACAAATTAATTGTCACAAACACATGAGAGAGGGATCCTTGGAGTGATCTAAAAACAGCTGGAAGTGGTCCAGAGGTGAATGGGAAGATGACTTGATTGGACTTAAAATTAAAAACTCGCAGAACACGTGTAAAGAGGTCCAAGTTTTCTTAGTGCAACATGTTTTTTAGATTCTTCCCTTCACAGGGATCAAGTTTATGTTGCATACAAACCTGTTTTGATTCGTCGAACTTTCACAAAGCGCAGAGGGTATGCCACAGCCAGGTACCTGTCCAGTGATATGCAGCACAGGAACGCGATGCTGACATAAATATTAGTATAGAAGATGAAGCCAAATAGCTTGCAGCTCTCCTGACCGTGGATCCAGTTATCGTGATGAAGGAAATAGTCGATCCACAAAGGAAGAGTGGCAATGTAGAGGAGGTCAGCCACCGACAGGTTAATCAGGTAGATGCCGAGCTCATTGCGTTGGCGTACCTGGTGCAAAGGGGAGAAGGTGAAGATTCAAATCTGAACAAGACTAACATGTTTGCTTAAAATTGGTGAGCCAGCTATCCTTTGCATGCAATCTCTCCAACAGATCAGAGAATGCAAACAAGGTGCGATGCATATTTGCCTCAGCTGCAAATGATTTGGTTTCCTGGAAGTCAAAACACAGGAGAATTTGAAAGGCTGATTGTGTTTGGTCTGAATATTTGCCCTTTGTTACCTTTAGTGTTGTGCAATGAACGTCTGGCTCACACATGCCTTAAAAAATGTTTTTGGCTGAACACTGAATTACTGCATATACAAAGTATTTAGGTATAACTGGTATTCAGTTTGAGTACTATCATTATTGAAGCCGGTGATCTGGTTAATGCTGCAAAGCGTGGTAGCAACAATGACCATAATGCACCTGACCCAGCACTCCTATGGTCATCTGAACCGTAAAAATGTGCCCTGATGCTGACATGAAAGACAAATAATGTAACATGAAATGTTGCTTACTTTAATGATGGCTCTTTCTGAAAAACACGAGTTGCTGAGCTTTATGAATAAAAGTCATTAACAATCCTTCCTCTTGCTGCCAAAGCAAACTGACAGTCTGTGGGAAACGCAGTACAAGTTTGATGCTGGTGAGAAAATATCCCAAAGGCTCTTTTGACCGTATCTGGCAGGCAACGTTGAACATGCGACATAATTGACAAGCGTCATTAACCACAATTGTGTGTTACCCTTAGTTACACTCAGTGCTGTGTTGCTTTTTGTGAACTGTTTTGTTTTTAGTGCAGTCATCGGAATGTTTCTGGATTTCTACAAAGGGAACCCCAGAAACCACCAGAGTTTGATTTTGTGATGATTCTTCTTACTGGATTTGTCATTATCCAAGAACTATGGCTAGAAAAAAAAAGATATTTGAATGACTTATACGTATGCCAGACATCTAAAGTGGATGAACACTTGGATTGTTTTACTATGCACTTTGGGAATAAACAGAAAGATTAGCAGGGAGATTTCCTTGGAAGACAAAAAAGACCCAAAATAAGACCTATTTGTTCCCAAAATGTCTCGTGAAACCAAAGTGGCAGGTTCTAACCCCAATTTGGAAACCACTGTCTGATAGTCTGATACATTTGAGGCCATTGGAGGTGGAAAACTGTGGGTATGTGTCTCTCACCTGCATGTAGGCGGCCCACAGGGCCATGCAGTTAGTCGGCAGCCCAAGAACGATGACTATGATGTAGAGTGTGGGCTGAAAGAACTGGTCCACCTTACTGTCCACATTACAGAAGGTGATGTTGCACATTGTCATGTATCAGACTATCTGCAGGTGTGCGAAGTGTGTTCAGCTACTCTCAGCTTTGCATTTTTCCCTTCTGTAGTTTCACTATGTTCCAGCTCCAGCAGTTTGACAGTGACATGATGACTCTGACGTCCTGCTCAGCAGTCCCACACGAGGCAATGGAGGAAAACATACGTGTTATTTCCAGGGAATCTCTCCTATTCTTAAACCACTGTCCTCTTGACTTGACATGTTATAATCCTCTTTCACGCTTCCAGGCCGGCCTTTGTCCTCCAGTATAAGAGGTGAAGAAGGGAAGGAGTGAGCTATATAATGTGGTGAAATGAAAGCTGCCTTATCAGTGCCATGCCAGGCTTCCTGAGCCTGGAGAAGACCTCATCAATCTTTTAGAGATTAGAGGTCTGCCAGGTCTACCGTGAGAGCGATGAGCCTGAGCATCACTTTGTGTGTGCCGTTGTGTCTCAAGGTCCTGATGACACACAAAACCCCTCAGAGATGCTGCCGGTGAGGCAGGAATGACTTTACACAGCTTCGGTGGACTGGACCTGTTTATTCGCAAGTTCTGAAAATCTGCAAGAAAGAGAAAGAGAGAGCAATAAGTTAAGATAATTTGTAATTAGAAAATGGTTTGTTTTTTTTATTTGTTTTTGCATAATAATATAAATACTGAAACAGAACTATATAAAAAAACTTATAGGGGTCTATTTATCCAACATTTATCCAAGGCCATTTAAACAAGTGGTACATCTTACAGTACTGTCTTATCTTTTGGACCATTTATATCTATTTTGATTACAGTTTTGGTATTTGGGGGATTTTGGGAAAGCATGAATTTGGAATAACTGTGACTAAAACTTAAAATATTTAAAAAAAAATTGCAGAAATTTACATTCCCCAGAGTTGTACTGGTCAAAAGACAGTTTATTCTGTCTTGTCTTGCATCTATTTGCCTTTTACATAGATTTTTAATGTGCAATAACTGAAAACTCCAACAAGCATTTTCAGGTATTTGCTTTGGATATTTGAACTGAATGGGATCCTTCTCCTGGTGAAAACAGACCACTCAAAACTGTGTGGAATGAACACACCCTTCATATAACACAACAAGCACTTGTCTACTAATATATTGAATTTTGCTGCTCCAAACATTCAGAAAAGTGTGTGCAAGAAAAGACAAAGCATGTGAAACAGTCAATCTCTACTACCCAGCACAATAACACAGCACATGCTGACAAACCGTAAATCACAAAGCTTTTGCATAACATGCAAACATAAAGTCAGAGAGAGACAGAATTTTCACCCAAACACATACAATGACAGAAGGAGCAGGACGAGAAGCTGATTACCTCTTTAATTTCTATATTTCACGTATTGGATAACTTTGATGTATTTTTTTAATCAAATATATTTTTGAACATTATGAACCACACTGCTCCAAAGGATCCAAAGGATGCAAATTCAGTGCTTGGTGCAAAACTCTTACTTGGGGAAATACGCAGAAAAATTTATGGAAATCTACTAGTCAGTACTGAAAGAGACCAGACCGCAGAACTTCAGCTGAAAAATCCCTCAACATTACTGAGGTAGCAGTGTTGAAAAATGATACCATACTTCATAATTAGGGGAGACTGCAACTGGCAGACATGCTGAACAAGTGAGCTTACTTCCCGGTTGCAAATCCAGGAAGAGATGCCAGTTCAGTGATCAATGATTTTGGACTGAGCTGACAGCTACTGTCATATATACAAACACAGGAGAGTGCTATGCTAGGACATTTCCTCAGTGACACGATTAAAAAAAGCTATGTTTAGGAAACATTGATTTTGATAAGGTGACCACAACTGGGCCACAGCTCTGCCCTCATCTGTTGTCAAACACACACGTTCGTTGCAGAGATAATTACTCATCACTCTTGTGGTAAATTGTCATTTTTTATGTTCTAAAATGTCAAAGGTGTGTCAGCTGATAGATGAATGTTTCATGTTTCTGCTCGTTTTTAATATTTTCTGCTATTTTTGTTAATTCCATAAGAGAGAAACTAACTCCCGTAACCCCGGTGAAAGACAAAGCTTGACATTTTAAGGAGATGAGCTATAGGTGATACAGGAAGAGGAGATGATGTGCCAGTTATGCAACACATTTTTTGGTTCATTCCTCAGTAGCTGTGAGCACACCCACTGTACTTTGAGCATTTGCATTAGCTAAATGTGTGACCTTTTGTGGCCTCCGTAGGTAATTCCGTTTTTACGTTCTTTGGCAAATTGCACCATTTGGTCAGAAGCTGCTGGTGTCACGGAAATATGTACAAGGTGATGTGATGGTACTATTCCAGAAAGCAAACACTCGAGTGACATACAGAGGCAGGAAAGGTGGAAGTGGCATAAATTACCAGACTGTCAACTAGAAGAACATCCTGTTTGAGAGCCTCCCTTTGTTCTGTTAGTTTGACTTTTAATTGCTGTTTCCTTTCACCTACTAGTGATAGGAAAATATTTTGCACTTTATCAACTGTTGAGATTTCCCAGTGTGTTAAAATCTAACCTCAAAGGGTCTCGATGAAACGCTATGACACTTCTCCTACAGCAACAGTGCTGAAGGGCATCTTGTGCATATCTGTGAGATACAGTATCTGTGACAAAATGGCAATATTTGACACCCTGGGAATAGGAATGGACACCTGTATTGGATAATTATTAAAATTCTATTGTGTCAGGCTTACAATAGAAGAGCAAAGCCCTGCAGTGATTATATTAGATGTCTAATTATAAATAAAGAATCTCTAAGACTCTCCTGTCCAGCTGGGAGGTTTTTTTTTTTAAATTTTCAATAAATGGAAAGAAACATGAGGAGGAAAGAAGCAAGACGAGAAAGGAAGGAAATACAAACGAAGAGGTTTGGGGGGTGCAAAAAAGAAAAGAAAAAAGTCAAGAAGAAATGCAAAAGTGTAAATGAAGAGGAAAGAAAACATCAACACTAAAAGACTTTTTACCTTGCATTCCTGAAGATGAATATTTATAATATGAAAGACAGTTTAGATGCGATCCCACTGAGCCGTTGTCTTGAAGACTCTCTTTCACAGCTGAGTTCACAGCACTCGACAATCAAAGGACTGTGATCACATCTGTCCCCACTGAGCACAGATGAAAGACTTCACTTCCTCATTAGATAACAGCAGAACCACATGTCAGTGACAAAACCTTCACGTCTTAAACTCCCATCACAGAGCGCAGGGTTAGTCCTCAAATCAAACTATGGAATCAAAGGGTAAGAAACTAAGTTAATGTAACATAAAGACTGTCCAGCAGCCACAGTGGAGTAACTGGAAGATTAAATCTTGCTCACGGACATGCTGTCAGTCCTTATTTACAGAAGTAAAATAAACCAGAGTGACATGGGCTTATTTTCCAGCACGTCTCCGTTCTGTTATCTTTCTCCACTCAGTCACCACAACTATGGTTCGTAATATCAGCTGCAGATATTTATCATGCTTCATTTCCATGTGAGTGATGCACATGCATGTGCTTTCTGAGAAATGTATGCACACATTTAAGCCACCTGTCAGTAGTCAGAAGTTCTTCTTTCTGATGCAAAGTCAACACTCATCTCTAGTCACTGTGAACATGTTGCATTAACCAACAGAGTGTATTGACAAACACTGTTTTATTCTTTTAGATTTAAGATTTTGAACTAGTTAATTGTCCTATTGCTGCTGCTCATGTCATAATTTACAGTGTCAACATAAATGTTCGAATAGGTCCTGAACGTTAATAGTGCGTGGATGGTTTTAATGAGCGAGTCCCTCTTTGTTTGCAATGTTCACAAAGATGTGGGATGCATGATTCAACTTTCACAGTGTTTCACTAATACACATTTGGTGATAACATTTAAAAACCTTGCACAATCAGCGACCAATGTGATTAAAAAACTGATAGCATGCAAGCGTGGAGGCAACACAGTGGTGCAATGGTTGCCCAGCAAACGCAGTTGAAACAGTGGCGTTATCTCCTTGCTCAAAGCTGATTGCAGTATGAGGGCAGAAGCCGGACTATGTAAAAGGGCAACGCTGACGTTGTTCCCAAGTACAATAGAGGTCCGATGAGATGGTCTCTTACAACACAAGAAATATATTCCATGTTGTTGCAATGAAGAAAGGGGATGCGTACATCTAACATCTTCTTTCACAGTACCCCTAGCAACTTCTACATGTCCTCCTTCATTACATCCATGAACCTCTGTGAGGTCTTCCTGTTTTCCACCTTCTCAGTTCCATCTTCAACATCCTTCCTTCAGTATATCCACTATCCCTCCTCTGCAGATGTCCACACCATTTCAACCTCGAATCTCTAACTTTGTCTCCAAGCCACTCAACCCGAGCACTTCTGATCCTTCTGTCACAAATCACCCCTGACACTTATCTCCACCCTGCCTACACTCTTTTCTTCACTCGTCTTGTGCAATGGACGCAACAAATTGTGAGCAATGAATTGCACAAAAATCCCATTGAAGATGGCATGGTTGCCAGTGTCAGCCAGGGTTCAGAAAATGCTGATCTACTGGGATTTGCCACTGGGATCATCTGTAGGATTTACAGAGATTGGCCTGAAAAGGGGAAAATATTCAGTGAGTGGCGGTTTTCTGGGCAAGAATGCTGTGTTGATGCCAGAGGTCAGAAAATAATGGTCAGAAAATAACTGCTCTGAGCTGATAGGAAAGCAACAATAACTCGAATAGGAGTTAAGTGTAAGGGCTGAGCTCCCAGTTTACATGGGCTTGTTTAACTTAAACAAAAGCCTTCCAAGTGTGGCACTGTCGCTTTTATAAACATCCAAACTTGGATTCCTATTAAAATGTAAATCTGCAGATTAGGAAGAAGCTTCACCTCACTGTGTCTGTTTATCTGTTCAGTGCACATTTAAATAGATATGATAAGTGCTGGCAAATATAGAAACTGAAAAAAATACCTCTCTGACAAATTCTTTGATGTCATTACCAGAGGGAGGATGAGTTGTTTGTAGCTTCTGTTAATGTAGAGATAAATAAATAATAAAACAAACAAAAGTTTTTTGTAGTTTTAATAAATTCTCATTTCAGTTTTACACATGGTCTAGAAATACAGCTTTCTTTCATCCAGATAGCATCTTTATTTTCCTTTTCTTTCTTTTTCTTCCCTGCTGTTAGGCTCTCTGTGCAGTCCCAGTTGTATTAAAAGAACTTATTTTTAAAAACGCCTAACATTCCTATGAAAAAATATTGCATAAGGTACAGTTATGCAGAGATGTTATGTGAAAGAAGATTTGAGGCCACAGGCTCAACAGGTTTATTAGTAATAAGGAATTAGAAATGTGTGTGCATGTATGAACAATGAAGGCCTCTTTCGACCTGTTTGGGGCAGTAGAGTAAAACACAGCAGTGTCTGATCTGCTGCCAGAGGAGATTAGGTCAAGGCAGCACTGGCAGCAGCACAATTACAATGTCGTGTTCCCAAGACTTACAAGGACATTACTGTGATTTTCAATCATTTCAAGGATACTAACTCCAAACCTTCGCCTTAATTAGTGATTGCCTAAACTAATTTTCCCTCCAAATGTAACCTCAGTCTAACCTCAGCATGTCTACAGCTTAAATATTATTGTTTCTCTTTATGAGGATTTGCTTTTTATCCCCATAAAGGAGAAAAGTCCCCATAATGTGCCTTAGTAAACAGATTTAAGTCCCCACGACACATCCCCACATGCTGCAACGAATCAAAGTGCCTCTCATTGTGCACCTGTGTTGTAGCCACCTCTGGCGTTTGTGGTTTTTCTCTAGGTAACCAACTCTTAATATGTCACAAAGCAACATTCAGCAGGATAACATGAAATGTAACATACTTTATTTTCATACTTTAGCGCACCCATACAAGTCAAAGCTTTTTACATCATTATAAAGTCAGTAGCAGCGAGTTGAAGTCATGTGATCAGTGTACTTTGTCACCACTTAATAAGATAATATAGGCTGTGTTCCTACTGCTTATGTAGGATGTTCTGTTTTTTAGAAGACTACATAGTGAGCTCATCAGCAAAACTTGTAGTACGCTACTTTTGTTATAAGATATTCTGAGTGCATTAGATATGATACAGTAATATTGATTATACATTCAGATGTACAAAATAGCAAATTGTCTTTATAATCCTCAATATCTGTTTCAGTCTAATTTCATTTTCTATGATGTTTATACAGTTGTTCAGTGTTTATAATCTCATATTACAGTAGTTATTTTACTGGTAAGGTGTATGTATGTATTTCTTAACACTGATATTTATGTGACCATTGGTTGTTCTGTATTTTGGTTTGTAAACATATTAAAGAAAGAATATGGCCACAAAGTCATTTTTTCAGAAAATCTTTAAAACACTTTCATCTTTGCATAACAGAAACCCCCCCCATTAATCTCAGCCTAAACAGGAAACTTAAAAAAGTTGGTTATAAATCTGTATTTGTGCTCCAAAGCATGAAGTGTGGTGAGCAAAACATGCCTTTAAGATAAGTCTAGGCCAGTTAATAGTTCATCTATCCATCCATTCTCTTCCAATTCAGGGATGCGTGGGGGTTGGAGCATTTCCCAGCTACCACAGGGCGAGAGGCAGTGTACAGCCTGGACAGGTTGCCAGTCTGTCACAGGGACAACACATAGAGACAGACATCTATTCACACTCGCATTCACACCCCCGGGCAGCTTAGATTCCAATTAACCTAACCCCACTAACTGCATGTCTTTGGACTGTGGGAGGAAGCCAGAGTACTCGGAGAGAATCGACCCAAACACGGGGAGAACAGTGGCTTATAAATAAGTCAGATAGAAGAATTGAACTCGGGTCCTTCTTGCTGTGAGGCAATCGTCCTAACCACTGTTCCACCGTGGTTAGCAGCAGTAATATAACCCTTTATTTATTCTTTCTTTAGTCTAGTGTCTGCGCCGTAATACGAGACAGTGGAGCATCTAGACACAAGATCCTGACCTGTGTCTGAGAAAAGGTCGGAGTCACGTGTGTGTGACTTTGTCTGAACTTTAAATCTAACCTTGAGAACAAAGATGGTTTTGGAATGTGAGCTCCGATTCTCACTTGTAAAAGTGCTGTTAAGAATAGATCTGAGATCTGGAAACAAGTTGAAAATGTTAAAACAAAGCCTCATTGCCAAGTGTATCATAACCGGTGGTAACAAAATATCATTATCCTGCTATGCAAAAGAAATCTGGATGCATACAATTGTTTCCACAATGAACTGCAATTATACAGGTTTTTGCTTTAAGCATGCAAAGTAGATCTGAGTTTTGGATAGTGTTAGATTAGGAGGAATGTAAAAGATGAATGTAAAGTGTGTGTGTGTGGGTCAGTACTGAGGCACTAACTGGGTGGCTGTTTGCCAAACATTCCTGTTGACAGTCAAACAGCGGAAACAGGAAGACAGTAACGCAACACTATCAGCCGTGCTGAAACACCTTGCACACTTCACAAAACAACTTGGCCTCTTCCAGGACACAAGCATGCACGCATATGCATACACAAACGCTCATAAAAAAATCATCTAAACCACACAATGGCAATCTTCCGCAGATACAAGCAGTTTTCCTGTGAGGCCTGTTCATTTTGTTAAAAACCGAGCACCCTGAGTTCACAGGGGAGGCTAAATTTGTGTTACACCAGCTTATTAGCACAGTTCACATGAATGATACTTTAAAGCTGTGTTTTATTTTCAGCTTCTTCACAAACCCTCATCAGTATCGGTGATATGTGAAGGTCAGCATCAGCGTGCTGTCACACCTTCTTTGTTTTCTTGTTCTTAAACCAGAGTGAAAAATGCCGTCTTTACTGTACACACTGTCGGGTTATAAATACATTCGATTACGATACGAGTTGCCAGGAGTCACAGCTAACTTGTTCAGTGGAAGTGCAGCCTTGTTATGTGCCAAATTGCAGTTTTGGCAATAAAATGAAATAAAACAAAGTCAGATGGTTCATCATCATTACTGGACACGCTGAACGTGTCAGTGATGATCTCAACAGTCTAGTTTAGCTGAGGAAAGAAGGAAGCCATGATAAAGTCTTTAAATATAAAAACAAACTTAAAGAATACTGAATAACATTTAGGTGAACACTTACACTCAGTTTACTGGTTATTAAAAACAAAACAGGTAGAATCCACAGCTCCCTTTGTATTATTTTGGGGACATATTATGTAGTGGAAATGGAGAGAGAAGCAGGAAATTAACCACTAGACATCCCAGAGCATCTTAGTGAACAGCAGAGTCAGAACTGCTGAGAAACGCGTGCACTCAGGATAATCACAGTCAATATTTTACTGCTTAATTATTTCTCAAGCGAACTTTACATGAAAGACTCGGACATAAGCTGCAGTTGTTACTGTTAACAAACTGACAGCACAGCTACAATCTATGATAATGAAGTTAACTGTTTGGTGAAATTGGATTTACCACCTCACGGTGCGTTTGCCAAATACTTTCACTCACCCTGGCTTTTCAAAAACTCGAGCTCAATGACAAATAATAAGGACAAGAAAAGAACTTGGGCTGCAGCCAAGTGGTGACAGAGAACCGGACACCTGATGACAGCAGAGTCACCGTGGCCCCTTGTTCTCGGTTTAGGCCCACCCATGTTCCCATGTTTCTGACATCAACTTCCCAACATTTATAACATTTTTGATAGTTTTAGAAGAGCTAGAGTTCAGCAAGTTCAATATCGTCACTCTTATTTTAGACATTCTTACACTGTTGTGTGGGCAGCTTGTTGATGGTGTGTCTGCACGCTGCTCTGTGGGACACAGATGATGTTAAACTGTATTTATTAGTATTTCCCATTAACTGCGAGTAAAATGCTCCCTGTATTATCACTTCAACGTGATAACGCCACGAAAGATGAGCTCAACTGTTTATGGAACTGGTAGAATTTAACAAAAACAATGAGATAATGCTGTAAATATTAGAGACGACTCTCATTCCTTGTAGATTTTTAGCTTCCAGGATTATGAAATTTCAAGAAATTACAGTTCCTGAATCAAATGAGAGGACACAGACCCCAACCCCACCACCAACTATTATAACATGTACAGTACAGACATTTTTTATATTTATTTTTTACATTTTATATTTATATATAATTATCTATTATGTTTAAATTATCATTTGAAAAAAATGAAGGTTGTCACTTGTCACATGCACGTGTCACCGGACCATCTAAATCACATCATAAGTAGGCACAATGCCCATTCTCCTTCTGGCTTCCTCACTCATCCCTTGTAATATATTTTAAATATGGTGAATTGTATAATTCTCACTTACATCATTTGGGGTTCTCTTCCATTTTTTGTCAGGTCCTGTCAATTCAAACAACTGCTAAGCTTACCTGACATTTATCTCGTACAAAGATACTGAAACGGCTTACCTGCTATGGCAGTATTCCTACACGAGCAGGGAAGACTTATCATTGAAAATGTTATTCCACTGGTACTCAGACAGGAAGTTCATTCCTCTCAGGCATTTTTTTAAAGGATAAAAGAACAAGATCTTGGGAACTTTTGAGGGGGACTTTAAAGGTCTAGTGGGAACTGCAAGAAGCTTTGTACAAAAACAAAGACTAGATTGTATGAGCCACTCCTAAAGCATCACATTTCCATCCTACGCAGAAACCTTTACTCTATATAGTATTGTAACGCAGTGACAGCAGTGGTACGTAAGATTTTGGCAAAGTGTGTGTTCTCCATTCTTTAAGCACCCCCATATGGAAAAGAAATAGTAAAAACTTATATGTGATTACTCATGAAAGTGGCCACTTTCATGATTTACTCATGAAAGTGGCCACTTTCTCATTACTTTCATACATTGTTTTAGTAAGTATCCAAAACATACAAGTTTCATTATATAATTTTTCAAGGGATCTTATATCTGTTTTCACTCTTATATGCTTTTCATTCAAGTTTCACACAAGACAGATACAAACTTTATAAGATTTATATATATCTTTTCCATATGGGCCGATTCGAGCACCGTTTCAAAAGTACCGGTTTGGCACTGGTATCAAACCTAAATGATACCCATCCCTAGTCCTGAGCAGACACATTTTGCACATTTTTTACATTTTGGAGTGAATATTGACAGTCTGGCTGGCCCACATCCTTTTTTCTTTATGCTCATTCCAAATATGTCTACACACACATTATTAACAATCATATTAGTGATATTAATAAAGCTTTTCTATGTGTTTTTCCCTTCATCCCCCTCATCATCCCCCTCCTCATGTGCTAAGCTCACCCTTGGGATAAAGTAACAAAGCACAATAGGAGACTAGCAGAACAAGTTCTAAGGACCTGATCCTCACTTAATTCGCTCTCATGTACACTTGTTTTAACTTGTGTTAAACTTGAGGAAGGCTGGTACCCATTTGAATTCCCAAATACATTAAAACCCATATTTTTATTCTGAACTGTGAAGATTGAAATAAAGCCCCTCCTTCCCAAACTTTAAACCACCTCTTAACCGAGTGACAGTTTTGTAATGACTATTAGCAGGGCAACATTAACTTATCTTACTTAGCTTACCATGAACTGAAAGGCTGGGTGTAATTAGGCTCATGTAAGGAAAGAAAACTGAGTTTATATTTTCCACAAAACATATTTAAACATCCTGTCTATCATGTAGTGGCTCTTCAGCCACATATCTGCACATATATCCTACAGCGTCTACTTCTAATACTAAATTATGCGTGTCTTACACTTGTAGCTTTATTGATTTTAATTTGCATTAATTAAAACACGCACACACCAAAAAACGAAACAAAACACCAAACCACATCCGAGAGCATAGCAGTGACCAGCTCTGGTGTAAACAATGCTGGCGTCCTGCAGCTGCTGCTATTGTATTGGCTACACAGCCAGTGTTTATAGACATGGAGTAAGTCCGGACAATATCTATTACATTACTGGCAGGATGCCTCACTGATTGTATCAGTCCGTCCAATGAAATCTGAGCAGAGTCTATCACCAGTAATTGGAGTTTTATCTGCTGCTATTTTTATTCAGTTAATCATATGAGTTAAATAAGTAATGATTGATGTTAAATTGCACTTACAACATAAACAGACTGAGTCAGGGTGTTTCAGCCAGTATAGCTCCAGGTATGTCCAGGTATGTCACATGGTGACACACAAGCACACAAAGACATACACGGCCAAACAATTCAATTCCATTTTTTTATATTTTTATATTTTTAAATTACGCTAACAGTCACCTCGAGGCACTTTCTATTTTAAGATAAAGACCTGACAGTGACAGAGACAATCTAATGGCCCCCTTTGAGCGAGCACTTTGTAACAGTAGGAAGGAAAAACTCCCTTTTAACA